AGTTTAAACCAATTAGTTTATGTAATTTTATGTATAAAATTGTATCTAAAATTCTGGCTAATAAGATACGTGAGGTGCTGGCAAGAATAATTTCTCATAATCAAAGAGCTTTTGTCTTTGAGAGGCTGATTTAGGATAATTTGATAATTGCATATGAGGCTTTTTATTACTTGAAGCATAGAAAAATAGGTAAGAAAGTAGCGATGGTAGTGAAAATTGATCTTAATAAAGCCTATGATAGATTGGAATGGTACTTTATTGAGGAAGTTATGAGGAATATGGGTTTTAGGAAAAAATAGATTGAATGGATTGTGGAATGTGTGGAGTCTGTGAGCTTGAATTTAATGGTGGCGAGGAAGAACATTGTTGAAATTAACATGAGAAGGGGTGTGAAGCAATGAGACCTCTTATCTCCTTACCTATTCATCATTGCTGTGGATGTGCTGTCAAAAATGATTTAGTGGTGTGTTAATTTTGGTAAGCTGAAGGGAATTAATTTGGCCAGAAACTGTCTTGTTTTATTGCATTATCTATTTGCAGATGATGCTTTATTTTTTCTCAATGCTTTAAAGAAGAATTGCAGTGTTTTGAAGAGCATTATGGATGCTTATTGTAGAGCATCGGGTCAAGCAATTAACTTGGATAAGTCTTGTATTTTTTTCTCCAGCAATGTAAGTGAGGTTTAAAGGATGATGTTTTTGGTGCATTGGATATTAAATCAACTGAGGACCCTGGTATGTATCTAGGACTTCCTATGGTTTGGGGGAGGTCAAAATCTGAAGCTTTGGCTTTTGTTAAAGGGGAGATGAGTCAGAAACTGCGGAATTGGAAACAAAAGTTTTTGTCTTTTGCAAGAAGGGAAGTCATGGTTAAGGTTGTAGCTAATGCAATACCAGTGTATCCTATGGCTTGCCTTAAGTTTTTAAAGAAGGTGTGTGCTAAGTTGGAGAGCATGGTCTCAAACTTTTGGTGGGAACAGAAGGGGCAAGAAGGTAGAGTACATTAGAAGGCATGAAAAATGCTTCGTAATCCTAAAGTTGAGGGTAGGATAGGATTTAGAAATTTTGAGTTTTTTAACAAAGCATTATTAGCAAAAACTTCTTAGAGATTGCTGCAGAATCTGGATGATTATTGGTGTCAGATATTAAAGGGTCTTTACTTTCCTAAAAAAGACTTTATGCCGGCTAAGAAGGAAAGTTTGGCATCATGGGGATGGTCAAGCATTCTTGAGGGAAGAGATTTTTTGAAACATGAATTGTGTTGGAAAATCTCTTTTGGTTTAAAGGTTAAAGTTTTTGAGGATAAGTAGATTCCTACAGCTATTGATCATGGTTTAAAACATAGGGATTTGCTTGATGATATCAAAAACATCAGAGTTTGTGAAATTATAAAAGATGGTAGATGGGATCTGGGGTGTATTGATAGTTGGGTGAGTTTAGAAGAGATAGAATTGATTAAGAAGGTTAGAATCCCATCTGTAGAAGGTGAGGATAGATATGTATGGCTGGAAAGTAGAGATGGAGAATATTTTGTCAAGGATGGTTATAAAGTTGCAATGGAAGAACTCAGAGTCAATGTCGTGAGTAAACCTGGTAAATCTCATAGGCCTTCAAAGATTTTATGGAATGGGATTTGCAAGATTAAAATGCAACCTAAAGTGGCTCATTTCTTGTGGAGGGCTGCCAGTAGTGCATTAGCGATGAAGGAAGCTTTATACAAGAGGAAGTGTGCTAGCAATCCTGAATGTGTCATTTGTAGGAAATAACTTAAGACCATTAAGCATATGCTCTTTTTGTGCCTGTGGGTAAAGAAATGTTGGTATGGTTCTCCTCTGTCTTTGAAATTTAGAAAATGAATTTTGTTAAGTTTTGATAGATGGCTAGAGGATTGGTTGTTGACTCATGTTGTGGATGACTTTTCAGTCTCTTTTTTTGTTGTATTCTGTTGGTCAGTTTGGAAGACAAGATGTAGTTATATTTTTGAGAATGTTGAGATCAATGTTGCATTGTGGGGTAATACGTCAAGGTAGAAGAGTGTGAAGCATGTTGATGTGGTGGAGGAGAGATCTGTGGTTTGGCATTTACCTAAGAAGAATTATGTGAAGATTAATGTTGATGGAGCATTTTGTGCCAGAAATCAGAAGGCAGCTATTGGAATTATTGGTAGAGACTGGAAAGGTTAATTCTTGAGTGGCATTGGGAAGCTTGTGCAAGTGGATTCTGCATTCATGTCTGAATGTTTAGCATTACTTGAGGCTCTATAGATTAAAGATTTGTTTGGTGGGGGAAATGTCATTATGAAACTGATTGTCAGGTTTTGTATAAAACGATTAAAGCTTTGGAGGTTAAAGGTTGTGAATGGAGGTGTACTGATTTTTCTACATCAGTGTCTTAAGTTGTGCAGGTTTGATGATAAATGTTCTCTTGCCTTGGTGTCTCGAAAGGGAAATAATATTGTGGACTGGATTGCAGCTAATATCATGAGTAAGATGGTACTGCAAGGGTGGATTGATCAGCCACCATCCTCTTTGGTTTTAGTTTTGGTTGAAGACTTGTGTAATAGCAATTATGATGTGGAAATGAAGAAAGGAATTGGCTAATGGGTTTGTTTTTGTGTTTGGATTGGTTTAGTGTTTTGTTGCTTTATTTTGTTTTCTTTGTAGCTTGTATGGTAGTTTTATTGCTTTGGTTTTTTTCTTTAGTTTGTACTCTTGGTTGTTTTGTTTTTTCTTTATTGGTGTTTAATGTTTGTATTTTGCTTTTGATGATTATAAAATGGTCTTCTTTTGCTAAAAAAAAAAAGCATCTTAATCCTAAAACATAGAAGGAAGCCAAACTTTGATGGAAGAATTAGCCTTTTATGAATTGTCATTGCGTAAAAGGAAATAAATGGGCTAACTGAAGCTTAAGTTTTGCCAAGGGATGCTTTCTTACGTATTTGATTTATGATGTTAGGTTTTATATGTATAAAATATTAGCACTAGACATAGCTTTATGCATATAAGAAGCTATAGAATAGAGTCGAGGGGAGCGCATGTGCATAAGAAAATGATAGAAGGGAAAAGGGTTCGATCTTCAATAGGATTGAGGAAAAAATGTCACCCAAAAAAGGTGCCATCACCATATTTGAAGGATGTAGACGATGGAGAAGAGGTGCATAGAGAATAATAAGAATTGAGTTAAATGGACCCGCTGAGGGTCTTTAACTTCCCATGATGGTTTTATGTACTAATTAATACTCCCTCTATATATATATAAATATAAAATTATATCATATGATTTAAGAAAGTTAGTTAATCATAATAATTATATTTAAAAATAAAAAAATAAATTAAAATACCCTATGTTAATTAACATAAATATGTATTAATTATTTTTTATTAATGTAAATCATAAGAGGTAATTTAGAAAATGTGTAATAAATTTTTATTAAAATAGGTAATTTTACTTATATAAAAAATAAATATGAAATGATAGTTTCTCTTATAAATAAAAAATTTAAAACAAAGGGAGTATATTGACTTATTATTAAAAGAAGATTGTGTGCATTCTAGAAGCCAAAAAAGATGTCCTAAAAAGAGGGGGGGGGTTTTCTTACTTTCTCTCATTTGCTTTCCTCCCCTTCTATTATCTTTTCATGATAAATTTAAATCGTTTAAATTAAATTCATATTTTTAAAAATTATTAAATTTAATTTAATGATTCAAATTTGTAGTGATCCCCCATCTACTCTCTCCTCTCCTGCAAAAGAGAAAATCTAAATCCCAAAAAGAGAGGGAGATGATGGGATTAGAGGTTTCTTTCTATTAATAGAATGATAAAATTACCTTTCATGCATGTTTATGCATTTAATCAATAAAATATCAAAATTTTATTTCACTTGACGAGTAATCCCATACAGTGCATGTTTTGTTAAATTTAACGATTAGTTTAATTGTAAAAGGTTAAAGATGAAATTGTTCGTTAATTTTAAATATAAGGGGAATTATATATAACTTTCCTAGACTTGAGGAGGGTTACGCGTGCACCAACATAACATAATATAACCAAGAAGAAGGAGAAAGACGGTATGAAAAGGTGAGGTATGAAAAGGTGAAGCAAACACATGAGAAATAGATGATAGGATTGATTTTGCGAGGTTGTAGGCAACTGTTAGGATCAATTTAGATTAATTTAACAGTGCATACGATGCAGAGTAATACTACTAATTTTGGTAGGAGAGGTTCAAATTCCCCATTTTGATTTTGTTGTTTTAAAGAAAAATGAACACGTGACACTAAACAAGTGTTTGGACTAACTACATAATGGAATGCTTTTGATTATGCATGATTTTTTTTTTTGCCTAATCTAATTATTAGAGGGAAGAAGAGGTTAAACTAGGTCAAGTCTTTCTTAAATAGGCCCATAACAAATGTTTAAGGCTTGAATTTATATATAGGTTTGTCTTTTAGGCTCGGGCTTAAACATATTATAAGTTAGATCAAGTTTAAAATTTTTTTAAAGGTTTACTTATTAAGTATAAGCATTTAAAAAAGTTTTAGAAATAAGCTTTGACGAGCTTTTATTAGATTTCAAACCTACTTAAATTATTAATAAGTTTCAATAATTTAGCCAAAAAAATAAATTAAAATATAATCACATGAATTAAATGTATATATAAATTAAATATATATATATATATATATTAAATAAAAAGTTATAAACAGGACAGGCCTTGATATAATAGGCTAGTCCTATTTAGTGAAAATGAGCTTGTTTAGTTATGCAGGCGTAGCTAAATATGTCAGGTTTTGGCTTATTTCTACCTCCGCGGGTTACCTCCGCGGATTATGCACCAACAAGACTATAATACACTCGTGTTTGTGGATTAAATATACGCTGTTTTGCTGATTAAAGGTTCAGTGCCTCCCCTCACTGGCCCAATGTAAAGAGTCGATGTTGCTGCTGCATTTTTGGTTTGTTATTGGTCCGAACCTGAAACCAAAAACTTGAAACGGCGTCGTTTTCCGGAAGTAAGATTGAAGGAGAACAAAAACTGCCCAACCTACCGAGGACCAACCTGGGTGGCTCAGCTCTTCCAACTGAAGGACGCCAGCAAGATTTGCCGAAACCATCTTCCCGGAGGGGTTTTGCAAATTTCCCCCCCTGCCCTGAAACTCCCCAGGTGATTGCTTTTTCTCTACCTTCCCCAAATCTTAGGTTTCACTGTTTCTCTATGTTTTCAAATCACCCTTTTGCTTTGATTCCTACCGATCATTCTCGTCATAAATTTCAGATGCTGCTTGGTTACTAGAGAGCGCCTACTCAAAAATTAATCTTTAATTCAAACGGGGAAACGGGCTTAATGGCCTGCCGGGACTGTGAGGCGACCTTAAATGTGAGGAGGCCTCACTTCTACGAGCTTTATTCCTCTACATCGAGCTCCGAGAGACTGGTATGTCAAGTCCTTTTCTCCCTTTCAACATTTTATTTTTGTTTCCGAATGCGTTTTTTTTCCCCAAAATCTTTTTTATCATCCATGCGGCCGTTATGATGTTGAAATGTTGATATATTTTCAAGTGAGCAATTGCGCTCGAGTTTGAATGTCCAATCTGAATAACGCGAATAGTGTGTGAGTTTGAATGTCCTTCAGTTGAGAATGGATACAGTACTCTTGTCATATGTTTATTGTTGTTATATGATGTTTAACCTCAGTTTTAATCTCCCCAATATTATGGCAGGGATTTATCATTTTGTCATCAAGTTTTCTTAGACTTTTGGTTAATCTCCCCAACATGACTGAAATGTATCCAAATATTGCGTATTGCTATCTTTGTTGTCACTCCTTACAAGGAGCTCGTTTCATTGTAAAGGTGTAATATATCGTACATATGTTTTCTGTCCATACCATAACAGTGACAGACTGAACTGCACTGTGCCATGGACAAATATTTTTAATTTCCTGTAAGGAAGTTTTTTTCTTTTAGAAAATGAAGCTTTGAAACTAAATGCTTTGGGATTTCTCCACCTAAAAATAAATGCTTTAAGATTTGTACTGGGTTGACTATCGGAATTCATGGCACCTTAAATTTTCCTACATAATCATTTTGTGAGCCATTTCTGGTCGTCTATTTTTGAAGTGCCTTCTAAGGGTTTGAGGGACGCCTGAAAGTTGAAATTGTTGTCTAATGTATAATTTGGCCATGGACTTGTCTTTCTTGGTTGCCAATGTATCTAGATTGTATGCATCTTGGAATTCTAGCAGTAATAAAAAAAGCAATCTCTGTTGGTGCAGAAAATTCCGGATGGATTCAGCCATTACATGGAAGGCAGGACGTCTGGTTTAGTCTCACTGACAGGTCCTAGCGGAAATACTTGGCATGTTCAATTGGTTAAGGAGGGGAATGATCTTTTCCTCCATCATGGATGGCCGACATTTTTGGAAGATCACACTATAGAAGTTGGTGACCTTTTGGTTTTCAGATTTGAGGGTCATTTAAGCTTCACTGTGCTAGTTTTTGACCAAAGAGCATGTGAGAAAGAAGCAGCATTTATATCTGAATGCAGTCAATATGCATGTGACCTCAACCATTTTAATGCACATAAAAGAAGTAGGGAGGAGAACTGCTCTTTGAATTTTGTTGCTGAAGGTTTGCTGAAGAAATTGAAAGGGAGTACCTTTGAGAACCAGCAACTCAAGACGGATATAGGTAATAAAGATTTATCCTTGCTTGAGTGGGTAAAACCGATTAATATGTTCAGAGAAAAAGGAGAATCCTCCAAAGAAGATGCACAACTTAGATGCCCAACTAGTGATGTTGCTGTGCCTTCTCAAATGGAATATAACAACGAATGTGAAGGTAAAACTGTTAATTTAATCAATCACATTGAGTCTCACAAACAAGGTCAGTATAATTATTTGTATGTCAGAATTAAGTCTTGACATAAACACGCACAGTAAGCAAACCTTAAGTCAGAAATGCATAATTATTGATCCTGAATACCATGCGTAGCATATACCTATTTATTGCTCAAGTTGGATCATGAGGAAAAGTAATCCTAAATCTTAATATGCTGATTTATTTAATTGTTATATTCAATACAGAGGCTGCTATGCAGATTGGAAGTGGGAAAGAAGATGATCAATATATGCATAGTAGAGTCTGTCTGTCAAAATTGTCATCATACGATGAGAAAAGAGTAGCTCAATTGTTTACTTCCTCTTACCCGTATTTTGTGAGAATCATGAAAAGCTTCAATATCAGTGGTTCATATACTCTGGTGTGTTATTCCCCTTGTGATTCTTATTTTACTTTCTATATAATTTTATTTTATTAGGTAGTAGCTGCCTTCTGTTATAAATCACTTTTACAGTTTGATCACACCTTCCCTGCAGAAGGTCATTTTGCTTGAAAATATGCTTGTTATCATCCCCATCCCTCTATCAATATCCATTGACATTCCGACACAATTTTTGAATTTGATATATGAATTTGAGTGGTATAATACAGAATATTCCGTATCAATTTTCAATGGCACATCTTCCAAACTGCAAGATAAAGATCATCCTTCATAATATAAAAGGGGAGCGTTGGACTGTTAATTCTGTGCCAACAACAAGAGTACACACGAGTCACACTCTCTGTGGTGGATGGATGGCTTTTGTTCGTGACAATAACATTAAGGTTGGAGATATCTGCATTTTTGAACTTGTGCATGAGTGTGAATTACGTGTCCGCATTGTTGGAATAGGAAGGGATGGTATAGACTGTCACGTTGGGAAAGTAGCTTTTAGTAGGCCTCTTACAGGGCATTCCATCAATTCCCATAGAACTTCTCAGTATATGCCAATCAAGGCCAAAGTCAATCCAAAATGCAATGGAAATGTTGATCTATTTGATAAAAAGCGGTCAAGGATGGGTCAAGATGCTGTTTTGTCTGTGGATGCAAAGAAACCTGGCAGAGTGTCGAAGACTTCTAGGAAGACAGGGATTTGCCCAGTGTCAAAAGCTGCTCATAGTAAGTTGGGTGAGGTTTCTATCTATTTCTTAACTAGGCTATACAATCAAATTTTAATTCAATATGAATTGATTGCACAACCTTTCTGCTTGGCCAAAGAAGGGAAATTATTTTATTAATTCAAATTGGAATCTTTGCAACTGATAATTCCTGAAAGAATATGAATGTTGAATATCTTTTTTTTTTTTTTTGGTTTTATATACAAATGTTGAACATCTTTAATCTATAAAAGCACGTGTTATCCAAATTGTGACCTATTTCATATGTCTATTTGTAAACAAAACAGTTGTTCAGAGAAGGCATCGAACTGACGATGAGCTAAGCTCACAGGCTAAAGCTGGTTTGCGAATGCTGTTTGCACTTGATGAACAAAGAGTAGCTCAAGCCTTCACTTCCTCATTTCCTAGTTTTGTAAAAGTCATGAAAAAATTCAATGTCAGCGGATCATACACTTTGGTGAGTCATTAGAAATTATTTAGTATTTATAGCCACAACTTTTTCTATTAACTTGTATTTCCTAGCTCCAATTCTAATCCATTGTATTTTTTTTCCACATTGTAGAAAATCCCTTATCAATTCTCTGCAGCGTATCTCCCATCCTACAAAACAGAAGTTGTGCTTCGTAATTTAAGAGGTGACTGTTGGACTGTCAACTCTGTGCCAGACACAAAAGGCAGAGCAGTGCACACCTTTTGCGGGGGGTGGATGGCCTTTGTCCGTGATAATGACATCAATTTTGGAGACACGTGCATTTTTGAACTTGTTGCTCAGTATGAAATGCAAGTTTATATTTCTGGGATTGGCAAGGAAGGGCTTGACCATCAGAATAGGGAACCAAAATCTAATAGATTAGCTATAGTTCCATCTACCAGCGAGCACCCTTGCGTGTGAGACGGATGAATCAATCTTCAGTGGACATGTTTTTTATGCTTTTAATCGATCCATGAATGACCCCCTTCCCCCAACCCGCAAAGCGCAAAACACTTTCCCTTTCAAACAGAAAAAGGGACAGCAAAATAGAGTCCAGGTCCTAAGTCGGTATCACGTTGGTCGTCACCTATTGCCAGGAGACTCATGATATATTAGTACCGGGTAAATTATGAAGGCTGGCCTCTTTCGATATTTGACGTTGTTAGATGCGTTCATCCATGGTCAGTCTAATTAAGAAAATAGGCCCGTGGGGGGGGGGGTGTTAGTCTAATTATTGCCTTGTAAATTTGTAATGGCAACCATAATGGTGGAACCTATTGGAATGTTCATCGTCATTCTAGACGAGGTATCTATGGATGAGGTAGGTTATTAAACCTTTTGTAGCTATTTTTGGTCAAAAAAAAAAAAAACCTTTTGTAGCTATTCGGGCACGTAGCCTGAGAAATGAAGAAGGTTGTTTAGTAGCTGGCTAATAAAGGATTAATCAATCTTTCACAGGGAGTTTGACCAGATTATTTTGCCATAGGGACCTGGAAAGAGCTTCAAAGGGTTGGCTGGCTGTCAGAACTAGGCTAATTTGATGGACTCATGCATTTTACTATTTTTTTGTTAGAATTTGTATGTACATATTATTCAGTTTTAATCTTATATCTCCACATCTTTTAAAATTATGACTCCCACCAGACCCATCGGATCAATTGGTTTTTTGTTTAACATTTTAGTATTAATTTTTTTTGTTGTTATTATTTCTGTATTCATCGATGTCTGACATGACGTGGTTGTCTGTCAGCACTTTGTTTTGTTCATACAGCCTTAAATTTATCTATGAACAAGGGTGATTGTAAAAGTTGCGTTATTGAATTAACGTGAAATCTAACATGATACATGGATTGGAGTCTGCAATTTCAGTTTAGCTACTTATTGGAAGGGACTAATGGCTAATGCGACGCCTAACTGCTATCCGTTTGTTTCCAAATCTTCTTCAGGAAGTAGGAGTTACTATCAAAAGATTTAGAGCATGTTTGCACAAGGTCCAAGCTAAGGTTTGGATATCTAACACTTAGTTTGGGTCATTCAAAAATACATCATGATGTTTGGATATCAAAAACTTTAATGTTATGTCTAGATATACATAAATTTGGATTTGAGTCAAATTTATTGTTTGAATAATTAAAAATATATGGATTTGAATTTGGGTCAAATTCAAATTCAAGTTCTTCCTTAATCTCTTTGTAATTTAAAATTTTTTTTAAATCCTTATTATTGACTCAAGTTTTTTTGTAATATGATCCAAATGCATGAAGGTTTAATCCACTTGCCAATAGTAATTGGATCGAACCATCAAAGTTAATGGAAACAAATTGCCAATCGAAATGGGACGGTCGACTTTTACTGAGATTGGACTGATGACAACGAGGAGCCCGGACGGTCGACTTTCAATAAGACCGGACCAACGACGACGATGAGAACCAGATGGCTAACTTCTACAAGGACTGAACAAACAACGACCATAGAGATTGGACAGCCAACTTCTGCGAAGATCAAATCTAAGGTGATGACGAGGACCAAAAGTCTAATTTTCACTTGGCAAGGACTAGACTATCGCCTTCTATAGCTATTCCTTCAGTTTGGTTGTTGTTGCTATCACCATTGATCCAGTCTGGTGTCAATGGAAGTCGGCAGTCCGATCCTTGTCACCATTAGTCAATTCGATCCAGGTGGAAGTTAGCCTTTCGGTCCCCGTCATCGACGTCGGTCTTGTCCCGATAGAAGTCGACCGTTCGGACCCTTTCAATTTAATCTCAGTGAAAGTTGGCCGTTCGGTCCTTGTCATCAGCGTCGGTCCTGTCGTGGTGGAAGTCAGTTGTCGGGTCCCTGTCGTCGTTGTTGGTCCTGTCCCAGTGGAAGTTAGTCGTCCAGTCCCTATCGTCGTCATCGATCCTGTCCTGGTGGAAGTCGTTTGTCCGGTTCCCATTATCACTGTCGATCCAGTTCTAATGGAAGTTGGATATCCTGTCCTTGTCGTTGTGATGGTCCAATCCCACCTTAATTGTCATTGGTGCTATAGTCCTAGTTGGCTTTATTTGTCTAATCTCATTGAAAGTTGGCCATTTAAATTGTCAAATTTAACTAATCTTTCAAGTTTCTTTTAAATTTAAATATAAAATTTAAAATTTAAAATTTTACTTTAAATCTAAACAAAAGATTTTCATATTGTAATTTGAAATTTTTTATATTATTCAAACAAAGAATTTATAATTTATGAATTTCAAATGTAAGATTTTAAATATGAGATTTTAAATTCAAATTCTCAACTTAAATTTACCTATCCAAACACAACTTAAAAGAACTTCTAGTCCAGAAATCAATTTAAATTGGAGCTTAAGGGGGAAAAAGAGCTTTTAATTTTGGGAGAATGACAGATAAATTTTTTTGAAATAAAAAAAATAACAATTTGGTCATATGAAATGTGATAATGATAATAAGGTTCCTAATGAACTTCTTTGAGATTGAATTTTTGTGTAAAATTATTTTAGCACCTTTTTATAATTTAGAAAGTTGTAATTTTCTAAGCCGTTTTAATGATTGGTGAAACTAAATTTATAAATATTTATACCAAACTTATAAATGATATAAAATTAGTTGGATTTTGCTAATAGAAAGTTGTGATTTTTTAAATCATTTTAGTTATTAATGAAACTAAACTTGTAAAACTTATGCCAAATTTGTTAACCAATTAAAATTACTTAAACTTTGCTAATTGAAGAAAATTGTTGATAGGCAGTTGCAATTTCCTAAATCGTTTTAGTCATTAGTGAAACTAAACTTGCACATACTTATATCAAACTTGTAAACCACATAAACTTAGTTGTGGAGGGGTACTAAAGTAATTTTACATAAAAATTTAATCTCAAATAAGTCCTTTGGGATCTCACTATTATTATCACATTTCAAGAGACTAAATTATTAATTTCTTATTTTAGAGTGATTTATATGTCATTCTCTCTTTAGCTTTTTGGTCATATATTATTATCAATTTGTTAAAAAAGTTTAGAACTAATATTTTGTAATTGATTAATTATTTTATATTTTTATAATTTATAAATAATACTTAATTACACACACACTCTCTCACTATTTTTGAATTGGAATTTAAAGTTCAATATCTTTTCTTAAAAAGATCAAATTAGACAAAAATATTTATCATAAATTTATGTCCTTTTTAGTCATTATATATTTAAACTTGCTTTTAAATTTTATCTTCCAAACAACCTTCAATTTATCAAACTTTAAATTATTGTAATTTTAATTTTGCAATCAAATACTCCCTTAGGATTACAATATTAAACATCTTCTAAAGACCTTATATGATTCAAAGTATATGACATTAAATAACTTTTATATTTATTTTTTTAACAATATTCCTACTTTATTTATTACTTTTTTTTTAAAAAAAATCATGCATTAGAATTTTAATTACTATTATCAATGTTCTTATATAGGGTATTTTATAAGTGTATAAATGAAAAGATGTGAATATTTTTAAAAATTTAAGATTTTAACTAATGTTTTTTATAAGAGAAATACTTAAATAAAATAGATGCATCACATCATTTATAATCTGTCTAATTAAAATACTTCAAATAATCTAAATAGAATCTCGTGTGACATTTTTTTAAATGATTTTATACTTATAACATAATGTAGATCTAATTTCTTGCCTTTTTTCTCTATTATCATTAATATCAAAATTAATTTATATTTAATACAATCAAAATGTTATATTTTTATTGAATAGATCAAAAATGATATGGTGCACCTAACTTATCTAAGAATTTCTCTTGTTCATAAATTGTGAATTAGTTAACTATAATTTATATTATGGTTCAGAGGAAGTACATCATAAATTTATCTTATATTTCTTTCGTCTCAAATTATAAGACAACTTTAAAAAAAATTTATTATTCTAAAATATAAGATAATTCTAAAAAATAATATTTTATTAATTATATTTTTTAATATTACTCTTCAGGTAAAGAGATAATTGAAATTATATTGTAGTATAATGATTAATTGTATAAAGGTATTTTTAAAAATTTATAATTTTATTTTGAAAAAATAAATTTATAAACTGTTATTATTACATTTTATTTATACACATAATTTTATTTTAAATTATTTTATAACATGAGGTGAAGAAATTATTAAGTACATAAAGAACATGTAGGATATGAGATAGGCACAAGAGTGTCTTATAAAAAGTTTAAGATGGGGCAACATTTGGAAAGAATGATAATACAGTCTTAAAAGTTGAATTAATAACTATTAAATTTTGAACAAATTTTTTTCTAAAATAAATTATAAATAATAATTTAAATAATTATAAATAAGAATTCGAATGATAAACTAATTGTAATATTCAAAATTTAAATATTATATTTAAAAATTGAAACTTTTAAATTTATAATTATTTAATCATTCATTTTTTCATTTGATTTCTTTTCCCCAACATTTAACGTATTTTAAGACTGTTTAGCGTATCTATTTTGGAACTTATCTCTCTCATTGTCCCTCTTGTTTTTTCGAAGATAATTAGATATCGAAATCCTTAATCAAATAAAACCCATGAAACGGTCGGAAATATAACGATGCACTTAATAAAAGCTTGGTATTCTTACTTCAATTGTTTTTTTTAACACGAGAGAAAACCAGAACAGAAACAAAACAGACCCCGGTGATTTTTTGCTCAGGCAGTATATTTCTGGAGCTCGCGCGCTGCTTCGACTCTCGACGCCCACCCTTGCCCTGCGCGATCTGCGTCAGTTGATTTAGTTGAAATGGGGGAAAATTGTCAAAGCTGTAGATCATGGGTGGACGACATTTACTGGACCCGTTTCCAATTCGTCCATTTTGCCCTCTTTCTTCCCAAAGGCTTTGATCTACAACTTGTAAGTCTCTCTTCCTCTTCCTCCTTTCTTCTCTGTCGCCGATCACTGGTCACATAATTGGTCGACGAACTCGATGACACAGATTTCATGGCATGTAAGCCGCAGTCTGCAATTTCCGTACACGCTCTCCCTTCTTTGTTTTGTTCTCATCCTGCTACCTTGCAAGGGTTCCGATATTACCTTCTTTTTAATTTGGCGCCCTTTATTCCTCGCGTTTGTTTGCTGTATGTTTTTATAGTACTTCATTTACCAATTTATTATTTAAAATTACGAACTTGTTATCTCTTAAGTCCTACTTCTGCGTGAAGAGACCAGTTTCTCTACCTTTGTCGGTTCATTTTTATAATCCCAATGCTTGTAATATATCACTATAGACTTAAATGAGGGGGAAGCGAAGAGGAGTTCTAAGAGATACAATAGCGTGGAAAAAGAAACGACTGAATGGGGAGAAAGCAAATGGAGATATGTGGTTTTGTTTTGGTCCTAGTACTACAATCACTGGCAATACTCGTAAAATGTCTAGCGGGCGCTTTTCTGATAATTGCTTCAGTTCCTTGAAAAACTTAATGGTATCTTCAGATTTGATACAATCACGATTTGGTGGCACTTGTAATCAGAAGTATGTTCTGTAAATATTTCTCTACAGCATGTTGTATCTGACTCTTAAATATGTGAATTAAATTTTGTTGACTAAAAACTGCAGGCACTGCCCAAAAATTTTTCCGATAATTTAAGAAAGAATTTGCCAGATTATGTGACTCTCAAAGGTCCTGGTCGCGATGAGTGGAGTGTTGGACTGACAACCAGAAATGATACCCTGCACTTCACGCATGGCTGGCAACAATTTGTAAAAGATCATTGCTTGGAAGAGAATGATCTGCTGGTCTTCAAGTACAATAATGAATCGCAGTTTGATGTTCTGATATTTGGCCGAGGGAGCTTCTGTGAGAAGGCTGATGCTTATTTTGTAAGGAAATGTGGGCATACAAAAAAGAGAATCAGAGATAACCATCCGGAAGAAGTCAATTTCCCTTCTAATATTCGCTCTGGACATGCTTCACCGGAGAAGTTTGTGCATGGTGAGAGTATTGGGGTACCGGCAGTTGTCCCCTCTGAAATTAGTAGCGAAGAGGCCTTTGATGCTGGTGTGGAATTTGCCTCCCCTGTGACAGCAATTCCAATGGTTGGAACGGAAGTCCAAACTAAGCAGAGAGGAGGACCCAGAGGATCTAAAGCCCGTGGAGGCAGAGCTAACTTGATATCTGGTAATAATTTTACTTAAAATGGCACAGGGCCTAAACCTTATTGCTGCCCTTCTATCTTTTGTTTTTGCCCCCCTTGTTTTTGCTTTAAAAAAAACCTATAACATGTTCTCATGGAGGAGAAATGAATTTATTGAAGAGAAGAGGAATATAAAAAGCCAAGAACAAGTAATCTTCCCAAAACAAAGAAATACAAATTACAAACTCCATATCAGTTAAAAAAGGGGGGGGGGGGGAATTCAGTTCTAGAGAGTCTTTCAATCCCCTTGCACATCCAAAAAGGCCATTTAGTGAAACCCTCATAAAAGCCAAGAAAATAACTCTCTCTCAAATGAGATGTGACGGAAGAAAGTAGACAACTGCTCTTTCTATTTAGTCAAAAGTCAAAATAACAGATAAATAGAAGCATTCCTCCCCTCCTCTTGAGAAATACATTTCAATTCTATTGGAATCAATATTTGATGCAAAATCTTACTTTGGTCCTGATGATGCTGGTTAATGAATATGATTAGATGCTGAACCTTCATCTGCGGGCAGAAATAAGACGAATGAAATACTATATATTTCAAGCAGAAGGCCCGTCACTGAAGATGAGAAAACGAGTGCCCTCCAATTGGCTCAGGCAGCTTGTACTGACCATGGTTTCTACATAATCATGCGTCCCACACATGTATACAAGAGATTCTATGCGGTAATTTGTTGCTTAATAACCTTAATTTCCTTCTTAGGGTATTCTACAGCCTTGTTTGCCTGATTTCGTGGCATTGTATTCAAAGTGTTTGATGTTGATCTGAGCATTATAAACTGCATTTTTGTTTGTTGCTGCATACCAGTCAATCCCGAGCAAGTGGTTAGCGGAACATCTATCTCCTCACTCAGAAGATGTAATATTGCGCTCGGGAGGCAATGAATGGCTTGCCAAATACAGCTATGAACATGGCCGTCGAACTGGTGGTCTGACTGGTGGGTGGAAACAGTTCGCTTTGGACAATAACCTTGAAGAATTTGATGTTTGTGTGTTTGAACTAGTTGGTCAAAAGAAGCCATTGATCATGGATGTGACAGTATTCAGAGTTGTTGAGGAGTGCTCTCCTCTGGATAAAGTGGAGTCTGGAGGAAAACGAGGCCGAAATGGCATCCAGTCATAGAAATGCGGGGGATGCGCGCTTTGTGTATTGTAGGGTTGTAAGATAAATGGTAATCGTTTCTTCTTCTCCCCGCGCCCCCCCCCCCTTTTTAATGGTGATCTTTCGCCCGCGGATCATGTTCAAGTTTTTTATGTATGGCTGGGAATTGGGATGGACTAGTTTTATGTTTGTATGGTTGAGAGGTTTCAATTCCTTCGAAAGTGTCATCACTCTGGGGCTGCCTACTCCCGCTGAGAAGTGCTTTGGTAAGATGGTGAAGTCCCGCTGAGAATCGCTTTGGTAAGATGGTGAAGTCATTACTCATCAATTACCGCCGGTGAGATTTTCCAGATTGCTGCCCTCATGAATGAATTCGAATTTGACTCACAATTCCTAAGGTTTAGAGAATTAAAGAAGAAACCGGAATGACATGGTGGAGACTGCGACATTCCTTCAAGTTAGGTTTGAACGTAAATGGAATAAAATAATACTGGAAAAATTATGGGGTTCTCTCTCTCTTCATTTAGGCGGTGTTCTTATTGGTTCTTGTGTGATCTTTGTGCTCTCGCTTCTGGTTACTGGATTGTTCTTCCTGTGGCGTTGGGTTTCTTTCAAAATGTTTTTACCAAGCTGTAGCCTCTCAGTCAAGTTGTTGTCTCTAACACTCTGTTTTATCATGTTCATGGTAGTCGTAAGCATTAGGGCATTTGGCTTCTTCAAGGTTTTACTGCGTCGGTGGCTGCCTGGACAGAACAACCTATCTGTAAGAGTCTATTGAAGACGTCTAATATTTGGGTTCGTGTTCTAGGTTCACCATAGGAATATTATTCCAAGTCTACTACAAAATTTATTGGTGATAAGCTTGATATTTCTTGTGTTATGATTGCAAGGGTCCTTGCTGAAATAGAGTTTTATGGTTTTAAGATTCAGGTTTCTAGATCGCTTAAGATTCGGCATCGATTGTTCAACTTTTTAATGGTGATTCAATTCCTGTTATGCTGCAATTGGAGCACGTTGGTAAGTTCTGTTCAAGATGCTATGATCCGGGTCACTCTCAAGCCTCTGTTTCTTCTTTTTGTGGGTGTCATTGTTAGGCCCATTTCTTACTCCCGTCTAACCCAATATTTAAAACCTTCTAATCTTCGGTTGCTCTTCTCCCAATATGTCATGTTTTATTCCTCTTACTTAAGGGTCCTTGCTTTATGGAAGTCAGCGAATCAGGAGTGAGCAGACAACTAGCAGCCTGTTGAACCCACCTATGCCTAGATGAAATGGGCGGGTTTTTACCATCCTGTTTAGTTAAAAATACGAGCAGGCTATTTTTATGGGCTAGCTTGTGTTTAATTTAAATGGGCGTGATGAGTTACAAGTTACCCTTTAGGTAGCCCATCTTGTCCTGTTTATAGGTAAGTGTGTAAATATATTTAAAAACAAAACTCTACCATGGTGTGTTTTGTCTCCCTCCCTTGAAAATGAAAGCCAGAAGTCTAAAATCCTTTGTTTGAATCACTCTCGCTCTCATTTGTCTTTGACTCATCACCATAACCGCTCGCTCTCTTTTGATTGTCTCCCCTTACTAGTCATCATTGTTGTCCCTCGTCTCTTCAAGTTTTTGAGACTCCAATCATCACATTAGTGCTCTTGCTTCTTCCCTATGGGTTGAAAACTTACCAATCATCATCTTTGCATCTCCCTTAACTCTTGTCATCGTCATCATCCTTTAGTGGCTAATGGCCTAAAAGTAACGATGATGCATAATGGGGAAGGAGAAGGAGGAAGAGAATATAAAAAAAGAGATAAAAGGATCACCGAGAATAGAGATAAGAGAAAACTCAAAAGAAAGGCAAGATAACATTAATTCTTATTCAATTAAGTGTGTGTCTACAAAACAAATGAGTTAAGGCATTATTTATAGATCTTAACCTTAACCCTAAAAATAAATGCAAGAAATTTTTAAAATCTTAAAATGAAATGAAAAGATAACAATAATTCAAATATTACGATAATTAAAACAAAATATTCTTAATTAATAAAATATTTTAATAAAATATTTTTGATCTTTCACTTTTCTCAAACTTTCAATATCTTTAATTATTTTTTTCTTCCCATCATTTCTCCCCTGCTTAAAGAACTTTCCTTCGAAGAGTAAAATTATGGATATGCTTTAGAAGTATGATGGGATTGAGAGATTCAGGTTGTTGCTATATTTGGGAACCCCTTCCAACAAATTAGACACCAATAAATAGCATTAAGTGAACAATAAAGAATTTGAGTATGTAGAATCATAGAGTACAAGTATGGAAATCGTTTTTAATGAACGAGATAATATTAGAGGGGACTATATGGTTCAAGAACAATTTTGTTCTTTTAGAGTTGTAATAATCTTAGTACTATGTAGTGTAGCAGAACAATAAGGTAAAATAAGAGCAGGATCAAATTGCATACCATTATCAATAGTTTCAAAAGAAATAACCATCATGGGGAGAATTTGTATATGCAATTGCTCTATCATATTATTGACTTCTACTTATGTCTCAGCATCACCTATCTTCAAAGTGGGTGCAGAATCTTCAGTATGGTTTGAAACCTCCCCTATGTCTAGTTTGTCACATATCTCGATCTCAAAAACATCAATGCTATTACTTTCTAGTACCATTGATAAAGGCAAAAGGTCTTTGTTGGGAGTATCATCCCTTTTAGAAGTCAAAATATTAAGGTTTTTCTATAGTTTTAAGATGCTATCAATAGGATTAGAAGCTTCTTTCTTGCAATATGAATTCTCTCTTTCTTAACTTGATGGCAATACTCTTCTTTTAATGTTGAACAAGGGGAGCCTTGGAGTTCATTAATTTTATCTCTTAATGCAATACGTGAATATATAAAATTTAAGTTTGATTGGTCAACCAAATCATACTTACTATGACATTAATGATGATTGACATAATCATAGTGGTGTAAATCAACATAATTATATTGACAAGGGTAATTATATCGATAATAATCAATATAATCATATTGATTGTCAATATAATCATATAGGCGATTGAATAAGGCCAAAACATCATGATTGAAGGTGGGTTTTTTTTTTTGATTGTAGGCAATGGAAGGTAAATTTTTTTTATTATAAGGCTCTATTATCTTATTTGAAAAAAGGTTTCTCAAGTTGCCCTCACCTAAAATGTGAAGATCTTATTCAACAAGTATAACCCTTCGAGAATTCAAAAATTTCTTAGAGATCAAACATGCTAAATAAGTAACAACGTAAGTGAAGTCTTTATAGTGATCTTCGGGGGCTTAAAAACCTCTCAAAGAAACTGATAAAAACTTCAACTAATATAGGGTAGATTTTGACTCGGGTATAGGGCTGAACTATTTATAAGTTGAATTTTTTTTAGGTTAAATCAAAGGAAAAATTGAATGAGTGCATGAAGGAAAGGAAAAATGGAATAATAATTAAATAAAGGAAGGAAGGAAACAACATATGAAAAATAAAACAATATAAAAAATAAGGAAATATGGTAGAATAGCTTGAAGTGAAGAAAAGTAAAAACAAACAAGAATAATAAGAAAAAGGAATTAGAAAGAGACAAGTAGCAAGGGACTCAAAATTCAAGATTGCATAACCTTACTGAGTAATTTAAAGGGCCTATAAACTTATCTCCTAAAGCATTTCTATATGATGATTTTTAGTATCAAAAAGATATCTTAAAGTGGGTTTGATAATAAAAGTAGAGTTGGAACTGTGGCTTTAGTGCCAATTGACATAGAATGAGGAAAGAGAACAGGGAAGAGAATATAGAAAAGAGATAAATGGATCAACAGAGATGATAGAAAGAAGAAAAAACTTAAAGGAGAGGTAAGATAACAATAATTCTTATTCAATTAAATATGTGTCTGTAAAAAAATGACCTATTTATAGGCCTCGACCTTAATTCTAGAAATAAATGTGAGAAATTCTTGAAATCCTATAATTAAATGAAATGATAACAATGATTCAAATATTATGACAATTAAAAAAAATATTCCTAATTAATAAAATATCCTAATAAAATATCTTCGATCTCCCACTCTTCTCAAATCTTCAATATCTTTAATTATTTCTTTTTTTTCCTTCCTATCAAGGGCTTTAGATTTGAAGTCACAGGGATAGCATCATTGTTGATGTTGTTTCTCTTCTCATCGCCACCCACTCTCAACCTTTTGATCTCAATACTCATATCTCATCCCTCTTTAGTAGCATCTTCCCTCATCCTGTCTCTTTTGTCTCTTAAACTTATAGTGTCAAACTTTGAAGCTACTTTCTTATTCTTCTTTGCATCTTGATCTCATTGTTTCACATCTTGCTTTAGTTTAGGGTCCAGATATTCAATAGCGGCACGAGCATGATCTGAACTTGAAAATGATTATGATAATTTTTTTGTTTCATTTGCGTATGTTATAGTCTTTTAGATTTGAACTTGCAAGTTTGCTGTCCTTTTTCTCAATCTAGGTTCTTTGATCTTGTTACTTGTTTAGTCTGTACTTGACTACTAGACTTTTTGATCGTCTTCCATATATTTAAAGCTTTATTTCTATAACATCCTGAAAGTTAACCTCCTATCAATTAGACTAATAAATGGTAATTAACTAAAATTAGTGTGGCATGTGGTCAGAGGAGGCTAATAAATATTTTTGGTTGTGTTCTTACCCTAGGTTTAGGTCTGAAGCAAAGTCAGGTCATTTGGAGCTCAAAAATAGGGAAAAAAAGGAATAACTCTTTGTTTGATGTTATGGCTCATTTAGTCAAAAAACATGAAAACTCTTCTTTGTATCATATGCCATGGCATGTATGGCATGCACCACAATACACGACCCAATTTGTACAATAATAAGACATGTGATAAACTTAGAAATCAAAAGCAAAAAATAGAGGAAACATGAGAGAGACACGGAAGAGGCTTGGAGCTTTGCTGGCGTTTACTTCCTAGGAGATTTTAGAGCATTTTAAAACTAGCAAACATAAGAGGTAAGTTTTTTAAGCTCTCTTCTTCCTTCCTCTCTCTTTTTTCAAATGTTTTGAGGATTAAGGTTTGTTGTTAAATATGATTTTTGGTTCATAGATGTTATGAATTGGAACTCATTGACTTAAATAAAGTTGATGAGAGTTATTTGAGTTGTTTAAACTAATGATTAAATATTTTACATATTTTAGCAGTTGAGAAGGCATTTATGGCAGAATTTTGATATTTAATAAGGTGGTTGGAAATATAGAAGTCAGATTAAACATGGCATGCAAAGTGGATGATAAAAATCATTTATATTTTCAATACAATTTCAAATCACATAATATCACAAATGCATGATCAAATTGCTCCTTATCTCCTCCATATAATGTCGACTGAATTTGTGGGCTGATAATTCAATAGAACTAAATCTATGTGAATGGACTAGTCCAAACTCACTAATCATGAAAGCTACTCGACTAAAGGTGTTAAGCACATTCTTGGACTTTAGATTCCCTCAATTGTCAAATTTAATGGGGTATCACAAGTCTTATAGGCCTTATTTGGTATAAGACATTTAATTTTAAAGGATTGAAATTGGAATTAGGATTAGAACTAGGAGTAGGATTGAGAGTGAAAATAAGTTT